ATGTAATTAGGTCATTTTGATCAAATTTGACTTAATCCTCATTTCGATATGATGGCTCACAAATGACGAGTGCTGATATGAAAATTATCTGTACAAGACGAACAAACTGCACTTTCAGCCTGTTATGATATGTAGTAAACTTCAGAGCAGCTGAGGGGACCAGGTCATCACCAGGATTACCGAATGATGCACAAGCACTATATAACTAGTTAAAACTTGGTAAAATCATTGGTAAATTAACTCGTTATCACAAGAAAACGCTCATCATTATTTTGTGATAACGACATACTATGTTCAAAAAGAAAAAAATAAGTATGTCCACTGGATGGGTTCTTCTTTAGTGAAAYGTTTCATCTCTCCTCCAAGAGACTTCTTCAGTGTTGACTGGAGAAGTCTACTACAGACTACAGAGAACCTACTTATTTTTTTCTTTTTGATTTTTTTTTCTTAACTGGTTTACTGAGATGCATCAGTACATACCATGATGGTTTTCTCCCGACAATGAAATAATATGTCATTATGACGCCTTGGGGAAAAAATTTAAYGCATAAAATATCTGCTCTCCAGCATTCAAGAAAAGATAATCATCTTGTTATCGCGAGAAAACAGTCATCATTATTTCGTGATATCTCATTAAATCCAGAGGGGAAAACAACAACAACAACAACAACAACAACAACAACAACAACAACAACAACAACAACAACAACAACAACAACAACAACAACATGTGAATACGACCGCTTTCGGCTTCCATAAAGTTCGACTTCCTTGTTAAACAAAGATTAGAAAGACGTGAACGCGTTTGCACTTTTATTTTGAAGAAAACAGGAAGTTGTAAATCAGTGTCGAAATCGCAACTTGACGCCACTTCCTGAAAGATTGACAGCCCGGGCGCCTGTGAGCTGTGCTGTGGAAGTGCTCCTGTTGTYAGAGAACAAAACTGGCGTCACCATCCGGCTCGCACCGGGCTAACTTTACTACTTTTTACACAAGTTTAGAACCGGAGCGCTCGGTCCGGGAGTCTTCGCACACCGACGGGGAATGAAAGCAGAGCGGACGCGGCGAACGAAGTAGAAGAGAAAGGAGGCAGACCCGTACGTTTGATGGCTGCTGGGGATGGAGCCCAGCTGCCGGCCACTGTAGCGGCCAGCCGGAGCGTGGAGAAGGCTCTGGAGGAGGCTGCCGCCAGCGGGGCTCTCAACCTGTCCAACCGAAAACTGAAGGAGTTTCCCCGCAGCGCCAGGAACTACGACCTGTCSGACATCACACACGCAGGTCTGTTAGCCTCTTCCTGCCAACTTCAGTGAACAAATATCAGTCAGCGAGCTGACAGGCGTCTTTTGTTTTCTCACCACCTGCTAACGGGGGGAGCCACATCCTTCCTCAACTCTGCCAGATTGCACAATCCCAAAAAAACTACTCTTTTAAATGATTTTCTTGTCCAGTTTTACTTAAAAWCATTAACTTGGAAACATTGTCATAGTTCACACTTCGGCACTTTTTTATTTTTTAATAATAACATCTTTAAAATTAGCTAATTTCTAAATAGCCCTTGGGTTTCCGTTAGCATGAAGCTGTTTACCTTTTCTTCTTGAACACCAGCTGCTTCATTTCAGTCTGTTAAAAAAGTCTTATTCTGATAAC